CTGAGTTTAAATACAGTTCTCTCCAGTGTAATATCTGAGCTCGTTATAATACATAATATAATATTATATTGAAGGATCAACTTTAGTTTGGCCAATTTGGTCTGGCGCCCAGTCTTAATTTCCTCGCCACCTTATAATTTTAACTAGAAATTTCACAATTCGCAGCCGGTTTTGAACCCCCAACTTACAGCTCCAAACCTGAATATCATAAACACTCGACCACCTTCAGCTTACGGATATATCAATTGATTTTAATTGTTGATAATGTCAACTTCATTAATCAGCATATTACTATAATAGCATATGAATAGTATCGTATTGTAAAGACATTTTAGAGTTAAGTTTCCTCATGCAAGGAATTTTTCATTTGTTATTGTTTGACTACATAACTTCTGTGTCTTGAAATGACGTCTCATTCATGTTGCTCCCGAACCTATAATGACCATTTTATTTCCTTGCTTTCTCGCAATCTGTAGCGATACTTAACCCATATAACAATGTGTAATTATTAACCCATATAACAATTGTACAGATTTAAACCCATATAACAATGTTCATATATTAGTCCATATAACAGTATTCGTCTATTCATGTATTGAATTTGTGCTATGGCTCCCGTGGTAATTGCAAATCTTTCCTTTTGTACGTGTTTTGTTGTATGTCTTTACCACAACTGGACATTACGAACACGGCAACTTCCCACATGCAAAACCGGTCGAAGAATTGCCCATACCCGGGAGATTAACTTAGGTGGTATGGCTTTTTTACATGTTGCTATATAAAATACCAATCTCGAAGATTTGAGCTTGAAAAATGAACAAAGAAATAATTATTTACACATTTTCTGACTCCGTGTAAGAGATTCATTGTTATTGGTCAATTACACCAATGACTATCTGGTGACAAACTGCTTAAAAAGAATCAGAGTGAACGATCCCACTATTTTTCTTCTTGAATAAAATTTTCATCCGTAAAATTAACTCGAAATTTATCTGTTGATTTACTTTAACTTATATTCCTCAGGGAATTTATCAATCTACTTGGAAATGACATGAAAGCAAAATTACTATAGCGTTGTGCTAAAAATATTCATTTACCAACTTGAGTTCAATTGAAACTCAATTTTTTATATTCGTGAATGAAGACATGACATGAAAGCAAAATGACTATAGCGTTGTGCTAAAAATATTCATTTACCAATTTGAGTTCAATTTAAACTCAATTTTTTATATTTGTGAATGAAGACTTATTTGCGCCGATCCTGATTTTATCACTTATTCGTGGAATATGTATGTGACCTCAGACAGCCCCTGGCGACCAAAGCGCTCAACATCGCATCGTTTCTACTGATGAAGTCATAACCGAAGAAGAACTTATTTTAATGCCTGCACTTTTATCTTTGTTCTTATTGTTGTACTTATGGTCCTAGTGTCAATTTTCTTGACTGATTTGTGTTAATTTATATTTTCTGTGCTTTTTCTGTTTTTAGATTCAGTCATCTGAAGTGAAGTAGGAAAGATAATTAAATTGCAAGGTTTCATTAATATCAAAAATTTCAGAAAAAAATTGGTACGACCAAGTTTAAAGTTGGAATAAAACGTGAATGAATCCTAAAAAAAAGTTATGCTTTCAATAATGTTTTGAAATCCCTACAGATATCGGTAATTTTTTCGACATTCATCAACAAGGCTAATCATTTCTTAGCCACTTTTCAAGTGTCTTAATATTTCACGGTTCAATAGAAATCTCTCATACATCGCTGTCACAGATAGCGCAAACTTACTTTACCTTCTCAAACAAAATTCGGGCACCGCCTATAGGCTTCTGTCCAAGAGTCGCTACACTCGAGTTATCCTGGGTCGGCTATCGAGCTATCCTATACACTCGAGCTATCCTTGGTCACCCGAGCGATAAGTGGTAAGAATCTCCTTCCGACTTTATTATCGCCTGGGAGTACGAGAAAGATTGACCGAGCCGAGTCGTACCGAGATTCCAAGCTGCCTAAAGGCTGACCTTCAAACTCTGAGTCGAAAAGGCTATGAGCGGCTAATTTACGTGATCTCCGAGTCTTGGGCGGCACCTGTTCGGAGTCGGTCCAGGATCTGAATTTTGTTAGTGTTTTTTTTTCTATTTCCAAGCTACATAACTGCTGCATGTAGCTTAGGTATTTTCTAACTCTTCATGTCTAAATTTATTGACTTGGCTTCTAAGAAGCTTCGGTTGTCGTGTAAATAAGTTATTCGTGTATTTGAGTATAGTTTAGTAATATCTAGTTTCCCACTATTTAAATTAATGCAGCTTACTTTATTAAATAAGTACGTCAATAGAGGCTAGCATGCATACGACTCCCATCGTCTCAAATGAATTTTTCCATCTTGTTTACAGTTTTTTCCCATTTGCTCGATTGTTTCTATCTCTCATTTTCTCATTTCTTCTCCATTGCTTAATCTTCTTCGTTTATTCCTTTGTTCTCCTTTCCTAATTTCAGTCTCACTCAGGAATTATTCTCGTCTTCCATGCAAATGTGCATCGCTAAATTGGAGGCTTGCATGTGATGAAAATGCACGAAAGTATTTCCTATGAATGTTGTCTTCGCATTCGTTGCTGTTTCTTCAAGAGTTAATTGAAACGTGTCTGGTGTAACAATGGCATCACTGTATTTATTTTGCGTCGCTGTCACAGATAGCGCAAACTTACTTTACCTTCTCAAACAAAATTCGGGCACCGCCTATAGGCTTCTGTCCAAGAGTCGCTACACTCGAGTTATCCTGGGTCGGCTATCGAGCTATCCTATACACTCGAGCTATCCTTGGTCACCCGAGCGATAAGTGGTAAGAATCTCCTTCCGACTTTATTATCGCCTGGGAGTACGAGAAAGATTGACCGAGCCGAGTCGTACCGAGATTCCAAGCTGCCTAAAGGCTGACCTTCAAACTCTGAGTCGAAAAGGCTATGAGCGGCTAATTTACGTGATCTCCGAGTCTTGGGCGGCACCTGTTCGGAGTCGGTCCAGGATCTGAATTTTGTTAGTGTTTTTTTTTCTATTTCCAAGCTACATAACTGCTGCATGTAGCTTAGGTATTTTCTAACTCTTCATGTCTAAATTTATTGACTTGGCTTCTAAGAAGCTTCGGTTGTCGTGTAAATAAGTTATTCGTGTATTTGAGTATAGTTTAGTAATATCTAGTTTCCCACTATTTAAATTAATGCAGCTTACTTTATTAAATAAGTACGTCAATAGAGGCTAGCATGCATACGACTCCCATCGTCTCAAATGAATTTTTCCATCTTGTTTACAGTTTTTTCCCATTTGCTCGATTGTTTCTATCTCTCATTTTCTCATTTCTTCTCCATTGCTTAATCTTCTTCGTTTATTCCTTTGTTCTCCTTTCCTAATTTCAGTCTCACTCGGGAATTATTCTCGTCTTCCATGCAAATGTGCATCGCTAAATTGGAGGCTTGCATGTGATGGCAATGCACGAAAGTATTTCCTATGAATGTTGTCTTCGCATTCGTTGCTGTTTCTTCAAGAGTTAATTGAAACGTGTCTGGTGTAACAATGGCATCACTGTATTTATTTATGTATTTTTTTATCTTCCAAAATATTTACTGATGCGGGTAAGAAATTTACATTGATGGAATTTATGGAATTTGAGCCCGGTAAATTTTCCTGAAGATAGAATTTAATTTCGGAATTCGAATTTTATTAGAAATTTTATATACGGTACTACGATTTGTTTACTTTTATTAGGAATATAATTTTGTAAATAACCTAGGAGCTTTTGATGAATTTTATAAGATACATCATGAATGTTTCAGTATTCATTTTACTTCTTATTACTGCCACCAATATTCGGGGGAATTTCCTATATGTTCAGTGCAGCAATTACGGTATCTTCTCCTTATTTTAAGGTGGCCTCTTCGTTTGAGAACATAAAATTGTTGTACTGTTTTGAGAGTCTAACTATTTCTACCATTTACTAATAACTACGAATTTATTGTAGCAATAAGCGCCAATTGTCGAAATGCACAAATTTCATTTTTCGCTGTAAAAATTTCATAGATTTTTTAATGGTGTCGATCTCGTCGAATAGATAAGATCATATTATTATGATCGCAATAACATTTTGCAGATTACAACTTCCAACATTGAAGATCTTACTTCCATAAATTAGGTTGACCTAATTCCTTTGCATTATCCATCATAGACGAGAGCGTCGTTGAATAAGATAATTTTCATCTTATGTTGCTCTAGCAATATTTGAGGTAAGGCATCAACATTATGAACATTTAAGCTCTTGTATTGTCAGCACCTTCAGACTATTATTGACAAGATATATTCTAGATTTCATGGACATTCATCAGCAAGTTATCGGCTAAAGACTTTTATATTAAATGTTAGTGAGGGCTCGGCCTAGCCTCTTGCGTGCCTCAAAGGTCTATTGTTTAGAGTTCCATTGTTTAGTGCTTAGCGACGGAGCACAAACGCTTTAATCTAAAATAAAGTTCTTGCGACGCCATATTTTTGGACTCCCTTTCACTTTAATGATGTAGGACTATTATAACTGGTTTCTTTGATGCAAAATCAGAATCATTAAATCATCGTATTAATGTAGCGGTATCTTGTTTAGCATTCGTACGCTCGTCTGATGTATAAAGAAAAACACTATTTTCACGTTGCCTTAGTAGACAGGTTCATATTCGTTGTCCAGAAAACTTTCCCCCGATATTCATGTAAAATTAAAGCTGGAAAAATATTGGTGCATAGATATGAAACATTTTGCCAAGCGAGCGTTAATTTTATTAGTACATTAATAATTTTTCAGTTGGAAGTAAGGGTTTGAGCTCTTCCTATGAGTGTGTTGGTATTTAAATAGTAAATATACTACCATTAATTCTATTGTTACACTATAATTTACGGCCATTACTTAGATTAATGCACGCATATTTGTGTGTGGAAGGAAGTGTTTCTTGCGTTCTACCAAGCGCGTTTTGTGCAGGAGGAAAAGAAGCTGTCAACCGCCAGCCTGGAGAGCGACGAGGAGCGCCGGCAACTCAAAACTAATCAGGAGCGCGTCAAAGAAAATCAATTGCGCCAAAAATTGATACTCGGCGGCGCTGCGCCGGAGACCAAGTGCAATATAGAAAAAGGTAAGCTGCATTAAGATCATTTGATTGTTTAAATCTCAATTTACCAAGAATTTCATAGTAGTCAGGCACGAACATACGATTGATCCAATATTTGGCGAGATTGGAGGTGTAGATTGTGCAAGCTTTATAAAAGATCGGGCGTAGCAAGAAGGAAGATGAACCAAATTTTGCTGTACCTCCTCTTAACTCATTTGCAACAGTTAACAGACATCATTATTTCATGGTGTCTGCTCCATCTCCATGTTTAATGGAAAAGTACAATTTTGTGAATGGTTCCCAGCAGTCCCAACTGGGATATCAGTAAAGAATTGCTGCGAAAATTATTTTTCTAAAAAAATGAACTAAATTCTGGAACCGTCTTGCTTTTTTTAGCTCTCGTGCAATGACGTGAAATGAGCCAGCAACTTCCTTCCTTACAAGCAGCTATCGTGCCATAGCGAATAATCAAAGAGTTGACGCTATTGGCTTGAAATAATTTAATCATGTTTTATCTCTCTTTCATCACTTCCCTTATATTCCGTAAAGAAAGTTATCTTCACTTCCTTTCATTGGCGATATGTATATTCATATTTCTTGTTCATTTATGGACTTTTCTTGTATTAGTAATTCTCGTTGCAGTGACAACCATCGAGAAATTTGCTAATTCTTGTCACTAAATGACTAAAACAATCTCCAATAGTCGCGTCATCTACATCATAAACTTACATTCTAGCGACTTAATTCGTGACCTTATGATGAATTACACTATAATATGATCATATTATGATGGACATATGGTGAACGTTTGTTGTTGCGATAATACAATTTGGTGCAATATTGACGCGAGTCGCAACATCTGAAGGCAGTTCCTATTTCTGTCATTGTAAAAGCTTGTGCTATAAGAATAGTCCTCAACCAAAGCGCAAGAAGCCCTGATCTTATTTCAGAGAGAAAACGTCATTTGTTCGGTGAGATAAGACGTCAAGTTTCTCCTTTAACAGCTACAATCAACATAATTGAAAAACTTCCGTCTGTCGAATAGAAGAGGAAAGTTTGTGGACGTTGTTGTGTGTATCTTGAATTGGACGAAAGTTCGCTGGAATTTTAAAAAGTTCTCAGTGACTCTTCGCGCTGGTTTTTCTCTCTAACCTCATATTTACCGCGTTTTTTCAACCTTATATAGCCAATCGTTATCGAATTGTTTGCTGCTGATTTTTCATTCACATACCGCGATAACTTTCATGCTTTCATGCTTTCATTGACACACTTAGCGTATTCAGTTCCCTATATTTTTCAAATAGATTTATCTTTTACATCACCACAAAATCACTTCACATTTGCGTCACTTTTTTTAAGGCAAAACTCATGCTCTCATTGACATACTTAGCGCATTCAGTTCCCTACATTTTTCAAACGATTTATTTTTTACATCACTACAAAATCATTTCACATTTGCCTCACTTTTTTTAAGGCAAAACATCCGTGTAGAATTAGCTGCTCTGTGGGTCATGACCCAAATTGGCCCGTAAATTCCTTCACTCGGATAAATGATAAAGACCTTGCACAAATACCGATGCTGCTTTTGACACTATGTGGGTAATCCTGACCCAGTTTGGCCCAGTAACAGGGTGTAACTCAATGCTCGTGCTGCGAGCAAGACAGTATATCACTTTATGGATATTATGACCCATTTATTTTTCTAAGTGATAACTTTCCCTTAAGGTCACAATTTGCCACGCGCTTTTTAGCGCATTTTCTCATTTCTGGAAAAATGCACTATATTGTGCTCGCCATATCCGTCCGTCTGTCTGTCTGTCTGTCTGTCCGTCTGTCCGTCTGTCTGTCCGTCTGTTTGTCTGTCCGTCCGTCTGTCTGTCCGTCCGTGACTTCACGTTTATGTCGACGAGAAAATGCACTCTCTGTCACTCACTGCAGGGAGTACTGAGTTATATTTTATTGCTTGCCACCTGCCATCCGTGCAGAGCACCAGCTGCTGCAGCTGCCATCACAGCTGGCGGCGTCACCACCAGAATGCGTTGCGCTGCCACCGCCGGTGCAGATGCCACGTCCGCTCATCACCCACACCATCGCAACGCCGCAGGTCACTATATTGCTTGTCATTCTTGAGAGTACAGTTCACTATATTGCTTGTCATTCTTGAGAGTACAGTTCACTATATTGCTGCAGCTGCCATCACAGCTGGCGGCGTCACCACCAGAATGCGTTGCGCTGCCACCGCCGGTGCAGATGCCACGTCCGCTCATCACCCACACCTGAGTACAGTTCACTATATTGCTTGTCATTCTTAGGAGTACAGTTCACTATATTGCTTGTCATTCTTAAGAGTACAGTTCACTATATTGCTTATCATTCTTAAGAGTACAGTTCACTATATTGCTTATCATTCTTAAGAGTACAGTTCACTATATTGCTTGACATTCTTAAGAGTACAGTTCACTATATTGCTTGTCATTCTTAAGAATACAGTTCACTATATTGCTTGTTGTTCTTAAGAGTACAGTTCACTATACTGCTTGTTGTTCTTACGAGTTCAGTTCACTATATTGCTTGCCATTCTTAAGCGTATAGTTCACTATATTGCTTGTCATTCTTAAGACTACAGTTCACTATATTGCTTGTCATTCTTAAGAGTACAGTTCACTATATTGCTTGTCATTCTTAAGACTACAGTTCACTATATTGCTTGTCATTCTTAAGAGTACAGTTCACTATATTGCTTGTCATTCTTGAGAGTACAATTCTTTATATAGCTTGTCATTCTTGAGAGTACAGTTCACTATATTGCTTATTATTCTTAGGAGTACAGTTCACAATATTGCTTGTTATTCATATGAGTACAGTTCACTATATTGCTTGTCATTTTTAAGAGTACAGTTCACTATATTGCTTGTTATTCTTATGAGTACAGTTCACTATATTGCTTGTTGTTCTTAAGAGTACAGTTTACTATTTTCGTGACAACGCTTGTGAAGACAGGGAACAATATATATAATGTAACTTATAAGAGCACAAGTCACTATATGTCGTGTAACGATTAAAATAACATCATTGATTAGTACCGTACCGGTGTATTTTTGTGGCCATTTGTTTCTTCATATTCGCTACCTTGAGATTTGTCCGCTGATTTTCTATTAAATCTTCACCTAGAGATGATGTCCGAAAAGTGAACAATTTTACCTCTCGCGTATTTGTGCCTTTTGGAATCTCTCGAATAGTTTTTTCTTTTTGTAGAAATTTTTTATTTTAAAATTGAAATTTTTTGATTTGGCGTCTAACATTTTTTAGCACTTGAACGGAAGTATTCAGGTTATGAAAATTATTCAGGCTGAAAGTTTATTTTTACAGTCTCTTAATTTGGAAATGCAGAAAATAAAAAAATTATTTGAAATCCTTATCAAAAATTTATTTCATTAACATGCATCAGCTCTTATGATAATGCCTATATAAGACATAATTTATTTACAGAATTATTTATTACAAATAAAATAATTTTTCCCTGCATGTCCTTGTGAAAAAATTTACGGGAACCACGCCCAATATTTAAGTAACTTACGTTGTTTAATCCACGTAATTTAATCATGCGGGCTTGAATGCTGTACGAAGTTTATCAATTTCAATTAATTAAAGATATTATTAAATTAAAATCAAATATAGCCTCCCTCAATTAATGAGACCACGCATAATTTACTATGGACAAGGATAATATACGCAAACTTAATGGTATTCACACTGGTCTGCCTCTTCCCTTCCATTTATTTATTCTAAAAATCACTAAAGGTCTGGTGGTTATACTCATCACTAATAAACAGAGAGGTGAAATATAGTAAAAGTTACAACTTGGGTTGATGTTGTTTAGTTCAACATCGTTACCAACTGAACTTGTTACTGGTTCCTATTACCAACTGAACTTAATANTGTTACCACTATTACCAACTGAACTTGTTACCACTATTACCAACTGAACTTGTTACCACTATTACCAACTGAACTTGTTACCACTTCCTATTACCAACTGAACTTGTTACCATTTCCTATTACGAACTGAACTTGTTATCACTTCCTATTGCCAACTGAACTTGTTACTGGTTCCTATTACCAACTGAACTTGTTAATGGTCCTTATTACCAACTGAACTTGTTACTGGTCCCTATTACCAACTGAACTTGTTACCACTCCCTATTACCAACTGAACTTGTTACCACTATTACCAACTGAACTTTTTAATGGTCCTTATTACCAACTGAACTTGTTACTGGTCCCTATTACCATCTGAACTTGTTACCACTCCCTATTACCAACTGAACTTATTACCACTATTACCAACTGAACTTGTTACCACTATTACCAACTGAACTTGTTACCACTTCCTATTACCAACTGAACTTGTTACCACTTTCTATTACCAACTGAACTTGTTACCACTTTCTATTACCAACTGAACTTGTTACTGGTCCCTATTACCAACTGAACTTGTTACTGGTCTCTTTTACCAACTGAACTTGTTACCACTTCCTATTACCAACTGAACTTGTTACTACTTTCTATTACCAACTGAACTTGTTACCACTATTACCAACTTGACCCAAATGTTAACATTGTCCTGAAGTCTCCCTCATGTGCAGGGTTCGCCGCACACGTCGCTGGACTCCGGCAGCCGCGACCTCAACAACCGCCTCAGCCCGCACCTCCTGCCTCCTGCCCACGCGCAGGTCGCTGCATGCAATATTATAATAATACAATAATACACATTAATGATACAATAATAATGCAATAATAATACAATAATATGCAATAATAATACAATAATATGCAATAATAATACAATAATATACAATAATAATGCAATAATATACAATAATAATGCAATAATATACAATAATATGCAATAATAATATAATAGTACAATAATATGCAATAATAATAATACAATAAAATTATAATAACAGGAAATTTCATAAATCAATTTCATTGCCAGAAAAAATAGCTTTTTATTTCATATATTATAAAGAATTATACAATATTATTATTAAAATATGCAATAATAATACAATAATATGCAATAATATACAATATTATTATTAAAATATGCAATAATAATACAATAATAATGCAATAATAATACAATAATAATGCAATAATAATACAATAATATGCAATAATAATACAATAAAATTATAATAACAGGAAATTTCATAAATCAATTTCATTGCCAGAAAAAATAGCTTTTTATTTCATATATTATAAAGAATGACAGTAAATAGTTTGGGTGTCTCATGGGTGACACTTAGGTCACCGCGTGGAGTATAATTTTCTTAGAGTATGTACTGAAATACGCTTCATCACTAATAAAGTTTAATTGTTGCTTCACAAATTCTAGACAATATCAATAAATAATTTGCGGTGCAACACAAGTCACACCGTATAGAATGCAGCAAAATTAGAATTTTTTACAAAGTTTCATTACAGTTAAAATTAGCTAATAATTTCATAAATTCTAAACAATTTTAGTAACTATTTTAAGGCGCTATTTGTGATGTTCAGATCACCGCGTGGAATATGACAAAAGTAGAAAAGTTTCATGAAATTAGCTACACTGACAATTAAAAATAAATTTTTGCTTCATAGATTATACTAAATATCATTAAATATGTTAGGATGTAACATAAATTATAAACAACTCCATGACGCGGTGAAATATTTTGGCCCTGCTCACTAACTTTCCTACATATTCTATTATATTAATACACAGTTGCAAACAATTCTCCGTAGACTAAAAGCTGATTATCAGCATTCGTTTTTATTGAAAGTCCCAATAATTGCTCGAAATACTAGATGAAAATATAAGCATTTCATTAGGTAGGCTTCATATGCATTGTCCGTTCTAAACCCAAACTTTTACCCGAACGGATTATACATGTAGCGGCCTAAGTACACGTTGCGGCCTAAGTACACGTTGCGGCCTAACTACACGTAGTGGCTTAACTACACGTAGTGGCCTAACTACACGTAGCGGCCTAACTACACGTAGCGGCCTAACTACACGTAACGGCCTAACTACACGTGGCGGCCTAACTACACGTAGTGGCCTAACTACACGTAGTGGCCGAACTACACGTAGCGGCCGAACTACACGTAGCGGCCTAACTACACGTGGCGGCCTAACTACACGTAGTGGCCTAACTGCACGTGGCGGCCTAACTACACGTAGCGGTCTAACTACACGTGGCGATAGTGCAGTCCCTGTCTTGTGCGCTTACCTTATTTTCTTTAACTCTTGACAAACTGTTCTAGAACATCTGTCTTTGCACTTGGTAAGATTATACCGTTGTAAAATTATAAGCTGTCTAAGACATTTTAAAATCAAACTGATCTTCCATGTACTGTTTTAACGTTGTAAAATTATAAGCAGTCCAACAAAATTAAACGCAAACTGACTACCCATTTACAGTTTTAGCGGTGTAAAATTATAATCGGTCTAACAAGGTTAAACACAGACGACTACCATGTACAGCTTTAACGTTATAAATTATATGCAGTCTAACAAAATTAAACGCTGACTGACTACCCGAGTCACCCCTCCCACAGGGTTTACTGCGCTCCTCATCAGTAAGAAGCAATGCATCCCACCGCTCCCGACACACCCGAGGGCGAGACTCCCTCTCTCCCCATGACCTCCCTCGGCGCTACTCCCTCAGCCCATCCCTCTGGTGAGCCCAATAAGCTAATTATTGTCCATTTATTTTCAAGAATTAAGCTTTAGATATTTTTTCTAAAAATATCTAGCCTGAGTTCTGTTATATTTACATCGCTTTTCTATTAACAGGTTTTATTCTTAAATCTGTATTTGCACGTAAATTCTTTGATAATTATCTTATTTTCCTATCATATTAATAATCGTAAAAAAAATTAAAAATTTCTCGAAAATTTTTGGGTTAAAAGCTCTATGAATATCGACATCATATGATACAATTAGGGCTATAGAGTTTCGAAACAATTCCAGGAGAAACCCCATTAAAGTTTGTTAGGAAGCACCTAGATCGTATTTCTAAATAATGCTTGTCCCATTTAATGTCAAAATTACGCAGTAAAATTTGCGTATAACTCATCAAAACGTTCTCAGTTACCGTGAACGCAGCCACAGCGGCGAGCGTTCCTCGTCTCGACGTTCTTTCCACCGCACGTCATCGAGAAGCCGGAAGAGACAAAACGCAGCGTCGCTTTCCTGTCCCACATCTTCGTCCACCCCAACCTCCCACCATCACCATCACCATCACCACGTCCACTCGTATCCCCCAAACAACTCCCCAAACTACCACAACATCTACCACAATCACCACCACCAACCCCACCATCACCGCCATAACCATCCTACTTCTACGTCGTTATCGCCCACATCGTCTTTCCGACAATCCCGACGTCTGTCAGCGTCGAAACCGACGTCGGCGTCAGCACTGGCCGTCACTACGTCAGTTACGTCAGGAGCTATCGTCAAGGTAACGGTTTCTGGAGAGAGAACGGCTGTTGGTAACGGCGAGCGTGATGCTGAAGATGGTGGAAGACATGTGGAGGAAGAAACACTCAACAATAACGTTACTTATAACAACAACAACCTTAACAATAACCAGCAGATCAGGTATGTTGAATCTTCAACGTTTATAATTATATTCAAATATTATGAAATCCCAACAACAAGATGGTTGACTAATACCGTGCGGTGCACATGTACAACCTTGAATGGAATATTGGAATTCAGGGAAATTATCAAAATTAAACAAAATTTCGAGAAATTCAGCGCTTCATACATCTTTATTCCGTGTGATCTTCTATTTTGTTCGTCTGTCCGCTGAACATTGTCAGTTCATTGCTTGCATGTGTTCCCATTTTTATAATGTTATTATTTGTTCTTTTTATGAGTTCTTCTTTGTTATAAGTTGTTTGACATCATATGATCCAATTAGTAGTTGTTCTCTGTTATAAATTGTTATTCTATAATATGATGTTATGAGTTGTTCCCAGTTATAAATTTTTATTTTATAATATCATGTTATTAGTTGTTCTCTGTTATAACTTGTTATTTTATAATAAAACACTACCATTTACCTGCCCAGACGAGCGATCTTGACGCAGCAGAACAGCATCGGGTCGCCGCGGTCGCCGCTGAGCCCTCAGCCCAGCATCCGCTCAGCGGCGTCCAGACAGCCCTCGCTCAGAGGGCGGGTGCGTTATTATTCATTTTTTTAATTTATTTAAAATTATTTATTACTGTCCATTAACCTTCAATACCTATATTGCGTTTATGCTTCTCTAGTTGATAGTCTAAATTCATCCATAGCCATTCGTAAACATTTTAGTGCCTTTTTTGCCTAGTGGCTATGCTATTCTGATTAATATTCTATTCTTGTCCATAGATAAACAATAAACATTTCAATATCCATTGCTTGTCTACGCCTTTCTGCTAAATATTCTAAGTTTATCAATATCTATTAAACACCGAATATTTAATTCATGCTGAAGATATAATTTTTATTAAATATTTTAAATTTATTTTCGTCCAACGTAAACGACTGCATGCAAAATCTATAATTTTGGTTCTCCACATTAACGAATAAATGTCCATTGGCATACCAAGTTGGATATTTCCATGCTTTTACTAGTGGCACAAGAAAACTCCATTCATATCTCTCCTAATGAGGAAAATTTTCCAATTTTCCATTTACTTAATTTTAGTTTCGACTAAAACCTCAGTGCGCTATCCCAAAATGAGATTTTGGACTAGTTCAACAACAATTACACAAAGAAAACGCCTCCTAGTCTGTAGTTCTGAAATTTGTTTAAAAATTTCACGCAACCATTTTTTCACTGAACATAATTTTTTAAATTTTGTTTTGAAACAGACGTCAGTGCACGGCTCGATCCCCGAACGTGATTTTCGACCCAACAACCTGAGTGACGTCATCAAACTCGAGGAGTCGGACAGCGGCGATAGCGACAGTCCCGACGCTGAGGCGACCAGCGTAACTGCCAACGAAGTTTACACATACAAAATATTTGGATACTTCGAGCCCAAAGGATGTTTTCTCGAGCGCGTCGACTACTCCTTGTATATCTTCTCAGAGACCAACTGGTGAGACACTTTGAGCTGTTTTTACCAGAGATATACTGTATACCTCGAGATATTTATACTATATACCTTCAGACATATTTACCTGACATATACTATACTATATATCTTAAGATATATTCACCAAAGATATACTAGACTATATACCTTGAGATATCTTTGTCAGCTATATATTATACTACACTGATAGATACATACATATATTCTTGATAACATCGCTTCATTGCAGGAATATCCAATTTACGAGAAATTCAAATTCAAATAAAACGAACCAAAAAATTAGGTCTGGTGAATTTTTGACAGTTTCTTTGCTCTTGAATACCTGACTTCATTCTTTGAACGGGATGTCGGAACTCATGAGCTTTCCATGCCTTCTTCAACCCTACGTTTCCTTGTCCCGTAACTATCATTGATCATCGTGTGTGAAGGCCTGGTTGCCAGAGTTATGTAACTCTGGCCGTTATGAAGAAATAATGGCTAGAGTTAACAGCCATTATATAAAGATTTGATTCTTGTATACTTGGAGCAATTAAGAGAATTAAATTAAACTTTTTAGGGCAGAGTTAACGGACATATAAAGATATAATGCTTGTATACTTCGGGCAATTAAGCTAATTAAATTAAACTTTTTATTATTTGATATTTCATCCAAAATGGGCCAGTTTATGATTTTGTTATTTTTATCGTTGCTGCTTTGCTCATCTCGTTGGTGTCGAATATGACGGGGTGATAGCGGTCATTTGTTCAGGTCACTCAGGCAACTCGTACAGTACAAACCCTTGATAAATTGCAGTTCCGTTGAGCCGTACGTCCGTTGTAAACGACCGTATTGTACACGCACACTTTTGCGGCCGTAGGTTGAGTGGCCGTACCGTTGCTGTATTCTCGCGTCCGCTTTCACAGTTGCTCTTTCTTCATGACTGTCGTATCTCGTTGATATAGATGTCTCACGGCCGGTCTGACCGTAGAGTTGATGATGACCGTACTTTGGAATAGATGTGCTCGTCTTCATAGTCGATGAAAATACTCCAACTCCGTTGTCGTACTGCGGTCGAGATGACTGTGACCGTACCACTTCTTCTGATGAAAATAGTGACCGTACTATTGATGACCGGTATATGATAATTCTTGATCTTGAACGTGCTCACCGGACTCTTGGCTGCTTCGATAAGTCTGGTTTTCTCGCGACCGTCAACCGTCAATGTTCGAAGACGGTAACACCGCCTGCCTGACGGCCGCAGCCGTGACGCCCGCTAACTGCAGACCGTACGTGCGCGGCGGTCAACTCCTTAGAACCAACAACCCTTGGCGCGAATTTCTAAGGTCCTTATATACGCTAGTGTCGCGCACAGTTTAAGCCTATTCCCTCGAACCGACGCCACATTCCTTCGAATGGAATGTCCCTCGCGCTGAGCGCCAACGTTCAATGTAAACTAACCTTTCCCACGGTCTCGAAACAACCGCGCCGCCGCATTCTTAGCATTCTTAACATCTATGCATAATACATGTTCAATATTACCTATGTTCAATATTACCTACTTTATTCACCCTCATTGATTTGCTGACTCGCTAGAATCACTTAACTCGCTGACCCACCAGAATCATTTTGTTTGTATTACACACCCTGGGCAAGCCAGGTACTCGTTAAATATAAAATGAGTCGTAGTCCCAAGCTTTAAGACCAAAACTGGATACTAATGTTTGCAATTTCTTGTGGACAGGATACGGCGCGTATGTAAGTATTTGGTCTCGAAGAAATACTTTGACAGCACAGTATTATTCTTCATCGGCCTAAACTGCATAACGCTGGCCATGGAGAGACCGAATATTCCACCGGACTCGACGGAGCGAGCCTTCCTGTCCACCTGCAACGACGTCTTCACGGTCGTCTTTGGACTCGAGATGTTGATAAAAGTGGGTGAAATGAGGCTTTAACAGTCATTAATTAAACTTCCTGACATTGATGTAAATTATATGGCTTGTCTTCACCGTTGATATTCAAAACAACATAAATTAAGGTGGTGATTGAAAGCCGCGAGCTCTCAGGCAGGCTTGGCTGAATCCCTATGGGAATCTATCACTACGTATAGACATTATAACTCCGCTCGTAAATGAAATATCAATCTGAATTTTTTCATGCTCATTCAGCTATTTATTTACAATTTCCCGACAGTTACAAAATATATGTAAATGTTNTCATGCTTTCATTGACACACTTAGCGCATTCAGTTCCCTACATTTTTCAAAACGATTTATTTTTTGTATCACTACAAAATCATTTCACATTTGCCTCACTTTTTTAAGGCAAAACCTCAGTGCATATTTAGCTGCTCTGTGGGTCATTTTGACCCAAATTGGCCCGTAAAATAGGCTTATCAGCTCTATGATATTAGAGTATGTCACTACTTGCTCTATAGCATCATATCATTTTTCTGTATAATCCTTCACTCTGATAAATGATGAAGGCCTTGCACAAAATAGCGATGCTGCTTTTGACATTATGTGGGTAATCCTGACCCAGTTTGGCTCAGCAGCAGGGTGTAACTCAATGCTCGTGCTGCGAGCAAGACAGTATATCACTATATGGATAATATGACCCATTTATTTTTCTAAGTGATATCTTTCCCTTAAGGTCAAAATTCGCTACTCGCTATTTAGCGCATTTTCTCATTTCTGGAAAAATGCACTATTGTGCTCGCCATATCCGTCCGTCCGTCCGTCTGTCTGTCTGTCCGTCTGTCCGTCCGTCTGTCCGTGACCTCAAGTTTTCGTCGACGAGAAAATGCGCTCTATGTCAC